TCGCCTCCCTGCTCCCTGCACCCGGGCTCCGCCTGTCTCCCGGCCTCCTGTCCTTCCAGACCCCCCACCCTCCCCGCTCCTGTAAATATCACAAGCACGTGACTGTACCGAATTTTCTATAACCTAGCTTCACTAGCAGGGGGCCCGTGTTTTGTAATGGTGGTGCCTCCTAACATTATTCGAGAGTAGGTGACAATGAGGCCTTCCGCCAGCTTTCCAATGGCCCTTCTGTCTGTACAGCCCCTCCTCTTCCTCCCACCCCTCTGCTCCACATCATGGCACCCTCCACACAGACACACCACCCAGCTCACCGGGGGGATGTGCAGGGCCTCCCTGTAAAACACCTGGATGTCCCAGTAGCTGAAGAGGTTGCAGACGGAGCGAAGCAGCTGAACCAGCCAGAAGGCTGCAGCCAGGATCAGAAGGAAGACCAGCAGAGGGCTTGAGTGGATCCTGGGGGGTAGAGGGCAATAAAGCGAGAAAGTGGGACCCCACAGAGAGGGAGACAAGGCTTGGGAGTAATGGAAAAGTCATGAAGAAGATCCAGCAAGACCAGCGGTTCTCAAAGTGTGGGGTCTCACACTTTGAAAATGTCTGCAACGTCAAACTTTTCAGGTAATATTAACGTTTCTGCCCCTTTTATTCTCATTCTCCATGAATAGACATAGTTTTCCACACTGACAACCAATGGAATGTGTGCTCTTAGGTTTTGCAGCTGTCCTCAGCTTTCATCTCTAATAAGGTGTCTACAGATATGGTTCTCATAGGCTAAGGTTCCTGGAGTTCTCAATAAACTTCAAGAGTATAAAACAGGGATGGGGAACCTTTTGTCTGCCAACGGCCATTCAGATATTTATAACATTATCTGCAAGACCATACAAAATTATTAACTTAAAAATTAGCCTGCTGCCCTAGCCAGTTTGGCTCAGTAGATAGAGCGTTGGCCTTTGGACTCAAGGGTCCCAGGTTCGATTCCCGGCAGGGACATGTACCTGGTTACAGGCACGTGCCCCGTGGGGTGGGGAGTGTGCAGGAGGCAGCTGATTGATGTTTCTCTCTCATCGATGTTTCTGACTCTATCCTCCCTTCCTCTCTGTAAAAATTCAATAAAATATATTTTTCAAAAATGAGCCTGCTATATTAATTAACTCACCCCTAATGCCTGGGCAGGCCAGACCAGATGATTTCACTGGCCTTACACAGGGCCAGACGTTCCTCAGCCCCGGAATAAACGGTCTCCTGAGACCCAAGTCTTGGAGAACCCATGATCCAGCCCAGGGACAAAACTCAGCGGCTCCTGTCTGCCCGTCTCCCTCACCCACCCCCACCAGTGGTCGCTCACCGCTGGGCACACTGGGACGACGGTAGGATGACATCCGACAAAGTCACTTTGCTGTGAGGCAGCCCACGTCTCGTTCGGTTATTTGGTTGCTTCGCAAAGAGAACGTCGTAATCCACACAGCGAAGGAGGAAGGTCGTGAAGGTGATGATGAAAACAAATTGCCTGGAGAGCCGGGAGTTCGGCGATTAGCCCTGAGAGTCCCCGCCTCCAGGCCGACTCAGTCTCCCTCCCAACGTGGCTGGGCCCCGGCTGCTGGGGAGGCTCTGGGTGGACCAGAAGCACAGGGACTCCCAGGACAGGCTCTCACCCCAGCTGGAAGACATCCTCCAGCAGGATGCAGGCAAAGCCGTTCCGCTGGTGGTAGCTGTAGATGTGGCAGGTGCGTCAAGAAACAAGCCTGAGGCAGGATGGGCCTTTCCCGAGCGTACCCTCCCCTCACACGCCAGTAAGTCCCCCACCCACTGCAGCCTCACGTCCCGCCACGGATGGCGCCTGCCCTGCCAGGTCCACACAAAGGATATCTTGGTGAAGAAGCTATCCAGGTCCTGGATGTGGTGCCAGGAGCCTGGGCACAGAGGGGAGAGTGATGGGGCTCAGCTCTCGTCTAAGCAGGCTTCCCACACCTCACCCTGCTGTGTCAATCCCCAGGCCTTCCCAACCCACACCCCCAGCCCACCCCCGTACGCTCACCTCGGAGCCCTTCAGGCACATGAAGCAGGGGCTGCTGCTCCTCCCCATGGAGGGGTGAGTCTTGGGACCCCTCGGGGTCACAGTCCTCCAGCCGCTCATAATCCTGCTCAGGGATCAGAGGGCCTATCCGCAGCCCAGGATTGTCCTGGGGGCATCGGCGTGAAGGAGGGGCGGCCACCGAAGCCGGGGGTGGGGTGGAATGGGAACCCCAGGAGCGGGGAGCAGTGATGGGTGTCACCACAGACTCTGCCCGTGTTCGGGGTGTGGCTGGGGTGGGGAGGGCACTGTGTGGAGCCTGAGAAACCCCTGGGGTCTGTATGGCTGGGCAGGAGGGCCCCAGGACTGGGGGAGGAACGGAGGAAGGCACACTTCTTGTGTGAGGAGCAGGGGACAGAGAGAAGATGGAGAGTCTCCCTCCCCCAGGCCCCCGCCGTGGAGGAGGGGGGAGAGGAGGCAGTGGCATGGGGAGGAGGGGCACTGACCCAGGCCCCAGGTCTCCCCATTGCCCGAGCTGTCCCCTGCTCCTCCCCCAGCCCATTCGCCTCACCATCAGGCTGGTAGCTTCTCCTGAAAGTTTGGAAGGATGGGAGCTGCTGCTGCTTCCACCGAGGTGTGAGGGGCCGAGCAGGAACTTTGACAAGACAGTGACAACAACACAGTGACTCAGTGGGGGCAGGCCCCAGGCGTCCTAGCTCCCAGTCACCTATGCAAGCACTCACACCCCCTTCCAGGGCAGCCTGCACCTGAGCTCTCCGCCCCGCCTCCACACCTGGGCGGGGCATCAGCCAGGGAGGCGGAGGCTGAAAAACAGACCAGAGGAGACATCTAGTGTCCCATCCTCAGACCTCCAGAGGACTGGAAGGGGAGGCTAGAGGGTGGCAGCCAAAATAACAAAAGCAAAAAGAAAACCCATCAAAGGATTATAGGACTATGGGGCCAAGATAGTAAATCTTTGATTTCTTAAAAGCATGACTTCTCTCCCTACACACACACACACACACACACACACACACACACACACACAGTGATCAACAGAGAAATGCTTTAAGACCAAAAACAGGAAGAAAGAAAGGAAAGGAAAGGCTGCCTACTTTGTCTGATGGTGCTCAGGAAGGGAAGAGGGAGACTGCCCGACGTTGCATCCAGGTTGGAGGCACTGCAAGGAAGGAAGGGGAGAAAGGAGAGGGAGCTATTTGGTGTGTGAGAAGTGGGCTCTTGGGGCTTACAGTAGAAAGATGGGGTTCCTTGGTAGGGGGGGTCCATTATGTTTACGTCTTTATCCTCTTGGACAATGAAACCCTCTCCCCTGACCCCCGATCCAGGTTTTTTTAGGCCCCTGAGAAGCATCAGGACTGAACCAGCAGAGGGAAGCAGGGGTCAGGGATCTGGAACAATAATTTGGATGACAAGGAATGAATTGACCGGGTTGTGTTCTTTGTTGACACATCAGTGAGGAGGAGGAGGCAGCTGGTCCGGCGGCTTGTCCAACGCCATTCTTGAGGTCCTGAATCACCAGGTTTCCTACTGAAGCCCATGCCTGAGGTGCTGACTCAGTCTCCCAGGTGTCAGGCCTCCTGGGCTGAGGGTTAGGGCTGACGTAGGGGCCAGTGCCCATGAAACGGAGAGTAAACAGATTGTTCACTGGAAGAATATGGAAGCAATCTCAGAATTGCCCACAACGTTTGAGTCCAGAAATGCCCATTTTTCCTTCTGTGCCTCCTTCCGTGTGTGTGTTGGGGGGGGGGGGGGGACACACACACACACAACTGTCATCTACCCATGTCTTGCATAGTTTCATCCCTGATCAGGAGGCAGAGCTACGAAAACAAGACCTGTCCTTTCTAGAGATGTCACACTAGTGCCCCAAATGGAATCCCACATTGTAGAGGGGTGAGGAATTCCCCATGAACTTTCAGACCTCTGTCCAGATGGATTCTGTGGGGTTTCATCTGTTCTCCCTCAACCTCAATACTTTGCTACACTCACTCTAGGACCCCTCCCACCCACCCTCTCCATATACCCAGCCCGACCTCAGACTAATCCTGGAACCTTTTCTCACCGAGTTCCACCCCACATTCATCCCTTCAAGCCCCCCTCTAGTCCATTTAAAGGGCACTTTTTCCTGCCGGGCATTTGAAGGGGATGGGGGAACAGGTGACTGAGATAGAGCCACTACTGAAAAAGAAGTCGCAGCCGGTGTGGGAAGCAGCTACGACGCAAACAAGTAATTACACGGAAGGAGTTATCACTAAACAGGTTCAAGAGCCGTGCCTTCGTCAGCCCGGCCTGCGGTGAGGAAGACCCCTGTGCGGAGATGCGTCTGATAAGCCAGCGGTGAGGAAGACCCCTGTGCGGAGATGCGTCTGATAAGCCACCTCGATATCAGCGGTTCTCAACCATGGAGTAGAGGGAGCGAATCAAAATCACCCGGGGAGTTTTTTCTCAATTATACGTGGCTCCCGCTCCCGGAATTCTGACCAGCCCAGGAGAGCGGGGTGGGTGGCAAGGCACGTGCACTGGTTTTGAAAAAGAACTGCCCAGCGGACTTTTGCCCCTTCTTTCCCCAGAACCAGCGCTCTGCAGTCCCAGGAGACCCTGGGGGCTCTAGAGTCCTCCGGGAGCACGGGTAGAACTGCAGGGAGGTCTTCAGCTGACGCGTTACTATGGATACCCTGGGTAGCGCGCACTCCAGACTTCCTCCCAGGCCCCCGTCAGGCCGCGGGCGAAGGCCCCGCCCCAACCTGTTAGGCCCGCCCACAGCCTGGGTGGGGCAGGTGGCTTTTCCCAATCACAGTTCCGGAGGGAGAACTGACAACGTTTTCTCCAATCATAGCCTGCAACGACATTGCTGCCAATCATCACCGAGTCGCGAGGGGGTTGTCGGGATGGTGGCCGCAGCCAACATGGAGTCCTCGGTGGGATAAGGGTGAAGCTGCTGTTGCCGGCCGCTCCTGTTCTCCCCCCCATCATGTTGGTGCACTTATTTCGGGTCGGAATTCGGGGAGGCACTGTCCTAGGCAGGCCTCTAACCCCCCTCCGCTGCCAGACATTCTCGTCCATCAGGTAAAAAAAAAAAAAAAAAAGACCTACTAAGAGCGCGGGGGCCATTGACCGGCTGGCCGGGAGATGGAGTCCCGGCCTCGCCCGAGGCCTGCTGGGAGTTGTAGTCCGATCGGGCCACGGGTGGAATGTCACTCCCCGGAGAATTGGCCTCAATTATTTATAAGGATGAGCCTGGTGCCAGCAGGAGGCTCCGTGCATCTGTGTCCGCTCTGGTGTCGGCTGAGGGAACGCTCTGGGGCCGCGACCATGCCCGGGCCGTATCCCTCCCCACCAGGGGGCGCCGAGCTGCACAGGTGGTGGCCCTTCCGGTGTTCCGGCCCTGTTACCTTCTTGTAATTGGCCTAACAATTCGGATAAAAATTACTCGGCTCCAGGCCCTGGCTTCAGCCTCAAGTTGTGAAGTGCAGAATGGACCCCAGGACAACCCTTCCGTAGGCAGCGTCTGGGTCAGACCCAGGTCCTGCCTCAACGACGCAGCTTTCGCAGTCTGACCTCGAGTCTTGGACTGCTGGTCTTGTTTGGTTTTCCACGGTGTGGGTTTTTTTCTATTTCATCTTGGATTGTAAACGTGTAGAATTCCTTGTGGGGGAAAAATGATTCGTGCCCAGAGACACTTAGTATTAGTGGTGCTCCCAAGATTCAAAGTGAGCTGAACAAAAATGGTTCCTAGATGTGGGTACTTTCAGCAAAGACAGGCAGTCTAGTAAGCTGTCCATGTGTGTTCTTATATGTTCACCGTGCACACATTGGTTCAAAGAGAGAGAAAGAGAGTAGTGGGAAAGGAAGAGGACCCTGAACAGAGACTCCAGTGTAAATGCTTTATGAGAAGGTCCTCATTCCTTGTGACCCTGGAGTGAATAATCTGAAGGTCAAGCAGCAGCAGATTGCCAGGGTGGGTGGATGTGGACTTGTGCTTTGGTAAATCCGTCCGATTGATACAGGGCAGGAGCTGGGTGGAGCTGGAGCCAGAAGTACTGGTGCTGGGAAGTAATCTGCAAGTTCTTGGCAGTGACCAAGCTCTGCTTAGATCCTTCCTTTGGAGACGATAAGAAAAGCTGGAGCCAAGTGGGAGTGGCTTAGTGGTTTAGTGTCGACCTATGAACCAGGAGGTCACGATTGGATTCTGGCCAGGGCATTTGCTTGAATTGTAAGTTGGATTCTCAGTAGGGGGTGTGCAAGAGGCAGCCAATCAATAATTCTCTCATCCTTGATATTTCCATCTTCCCCCTCCTTTCCTCTCTCTGAATTCTATTTTTCAAAATATATTTTATTGATTTTACACAGAGAGGAATTGAGAGGGATAGAGAGTTAGAAACGTCAGAAACATTGACAAAAAAAAAAAAAAAAAGAAACATCAACCAGCTGCCTCTTGCACACCCCCCACTGGGGATGTGCCCGCAACCAAGGTACATGCCCTTGACCAGAATCGAACCCAGGACCCTTCAGTCCCCAGGCTGACGCTCTATCCACTGAGCCAAACTGGTTTCGGCTGAAATCAATTTTAAAAAACAACATATTAAAGAAAAAAAGCTGGAAAGTGTCCATAGTAAACTATTAAAAGATTTGAACAATCAGTAGGAAAAGAATAAGACTATTAGTATATTTTAAGCCAAAGAGAAACCCAAAGAAAGAGAGCCAATAATATTCAAGTATTTGTTTATTCATTTATGCAGTGTTTTTTTAAATGTTCAAGTCATAACACAATAGATTATCAAATGAATTTAATGGGTTGGAACCATTTAAAAGTAAATGTAATATGCCGGGACCGGTTTGGCTCAATGGATAGAGCGTCGGCTTGGGGACTGAAGGGTCCCGGGTTCGATTCCGGTCAAGGGCATGTACCCTGGTTGCGGGCATATCCCCGGTAGGGGGTGTGTAAGAGGCAGCTGATCGATGACTCTCTCTCATCGATGTTTCTGACTCTCTATCTCTCTCCCTTCCTCTCTGTATAAAATCAATAAAATATATTAAAAAAAAAAAAGTAAATGTAATAAAAAATAGAATACATATTTAAAAATGTGTGTTCTTGTATGTAAGTATTTTGTGAAGCATTTCAACTTTGTGTGACATATTTACGTTGGGTACTGGGTAAAGTGAATTTTTTACTGTCAGCCTCAGCAAATCTGAAACTTTGCAGACCCTGCAGTTGTGTGTTAGGTCAGGTGGTTCTGCATTTCTAATGGCATTCACTCAACAAACATTTCTTAAAGACCCATTATGTTCCTGAGCACTGCTAAGTGGTGAGGATGCAATGGGGAATAACACAAGTTTCCTGTGATTGTCTAATGGGGATGTTGGACAATTAAACGGGGCAGAAGGAGAGGGAGCTCCTCTGTTTACGCCGTAGGACAGCCCTGGCTGGTGTGCTCAGTGGTTAGATCATTGGCCTGAGCACCAAAGGGTGGAGGCTTCAATTCCTGGTCAAAGACGTGTACCTGGTTTGCAGGTTTGATCCTTGGGCCCCAGTCCCTGGACAGGGCGCGTGTGAGAGGCAACGAATCAATGTAGGATTTTTCTCTCTCTTCCCCTCCTACTCTCTAAAAACCAATGGAAAAATATCCTCAGGATATTAACAAAACACAAAAACAACAACAATAAAAACCTTAGGACAGACATAAATTACTCAGTGAAAACAAGACCTAAATGCCAGGCAGGCGGGAAGGTGTAAGTGGAGGCATAAGGTAGAGATGTTAAGAAGCATGGGCCTCCTGAAGGAAGGGAAGGTTGAGGTGAAGTCTGCAGTTAGGTGGGCCTGGAAGTATAAAACACTATCACCGAAAAGGAAACACTCACTGCCTTTCCCCATTGATAATCTCATTTGGATTTTTGAGCATCCCACTCTGTACTCTTGGCTATAACTTCTGCTCCTAACAGGCCTCTGTAGCCAATCTTGTCCTCTTCCAGCCACATCCCTCTGCTGTGATGTTTGAAATGCAACTCTGACTATGTCACATGCCAGCCTAAAAACTGGAGCTGGTCCTCACTGCCCTCCAAAGTCCAGCTGTTACAGGACTGTGGTGACTGCTACCTGGCCACCTTTCCCCACTCCCTCAGTCAGGGCAGTCCCTGCTCTGCACCAGGAGTGCCCCATGCCCCTCGGTTCCCCTGTCCCACCGTCTGCCAGGAGGTGCTCACTTGGTCTCCTGTTCAGCACCTGCTCTCCCTGCCTCACAGCGGAGCACTGGGCACAGGAGGCACACAGTCTACGTTGCTGTTTATAGACACAGAAGCTGCAGGAAGGAGGAGGTGATCCTGGCCTATCCGAGATGACATTATGTTATTTGCATTTTTATTTTTTTTCTTCCTTTAGCTGGCAGAGAGGGAGTGTGTTACACTTTTCCTCCCTACGTTGTCACATGAGCACTGGAGGCCTGGGAGGAACCAGGTGATGGGATGCAAAAAGCATTGACCACCCCTAACCAGTTTGGCTCAGGGGATAGAGCCGCGGCCTGTGGACTGAAAGGTCCCAGGTTCTATTCGGTCAAGAGCATATACCTTGGTTGTGGGCACATCCCCAGTAGGGGGTGTGCTAGAGGCAGATGATCAATGATTCTCTCTCATTGATTTTTCTAACTCTCTATCCCTCTTCCTTCTCTGTAAAAATTAATAAAATATATTTAAAAAAAAAACAAAATAAAACAAAACACTGACCAGTAGTCAGAAGACTTGGGTCCTGGCCCTGCCACACGTGGCCTTGGCACCTCACAGAGGACAGATCCTGGAATCATGTGTCTGGGTTGCCCTCTAGTCCCAGTTCTGCTGTTGGGGTTTATTAGCTCTGCCAGCCCCACATGATTTGTCTTCTATCAAGTGAGAATAACGGCATCTCCCTCCCAGGGACTCGAGGTGAAACGTAGACCATTAGCACTTTGAGGCAGGGCCCTGACCACAGGCTGGGCGCTCTCCCCCTCTTCTCTGAACCGTGGGCACTCACGATTTCTGTATCCTCCACCGGAAGGGAATGCCATGAACTAGCTGCCAGGGAGGGCGTCCCAGCTCTGCTATCCTGGGTCCTGGGATCTGACAGCATGTGGGTTGCAGCCAGTCCCTGGTCCAGAGGTGCCTCCGGAGGCTGAGGGCCTGGCTGGCCGAGTGACTGCACGTGCCCCTGTCTCGTCCCTTAGCTACTTTGCATGTGTATGTTTGTTTCAGAAACAGGTTGCTTAAGAAATGCAGTGCACGGCCTGGCCCAAGGGAAGTGCTGCCCTCCAGAGGGCTCACCCGGGCTCAGCTGGTTCGTGACCAGCTGGAGAACAGTCGGGGCCTCGAGCCATCAACGCCGTTCTCTCCCTACAGGCACTCTGATGGCCGCCGCGGCTCCTATCTCCTCAGGGCTGTGGCCCAGCTGCGGTCCCAGCTCCGAGCTCGCCTCCCTCAAGTGCCACCAGGTCCGGGCCGCAGCCCCTCTTCCTGGTGCTGGGTTGGGGGAGTCCTCCTGGGCCCTGTGGTGCTGAGTAAGTGCCCCCGCCTCTGCCTGGTGGCACTGTGTGAGGCAGAAGAGGCCCCTCCTGCCTACTCCAGACCCCATGGCACGGAGACCCGCTTTAACTGGAAGCTCTTCTGGCAGTTTCTGCGCCCCCACCTGCTGGTCCTAGGAGCAGCCATCGTGGTGAGCTATTCCCCTACACCCCTAAAACCAGGGATAGGGACCAACTCAGTCAAGGGTTTGCAGAAGCCCCAGCCAGAGCTGCGTGAGGACAGCTTGCCTGCCTCGTGGAGTCTTCGGCGACCTTGGGAGGCCAAGGGATACCAGGCTTGAGGAGGGAGGCCAAGGGATACCAGGAGAACCTGGGCAGGGGGGCTGGGTGTACACGGTACAGGGGTCCCCAGGGCCTGGCAGCCTGAAGCATGGACAGCAGCAGGAGAGGAAGGGCTAAGGTCGGAGCTGGGGGTGAGGAGTCTGGCCCCCTCTCTATGTCTGTGCTCCCCCAGCTGGCTCTGGGTGCGGCCCTGGTGAACGTGCAGATCCCCCTGCTCCTGGGCCAGCTGGTGGAGATAGTGGCCAAGTACACAAGGGACCACATGGGCAACTTCCTGAAAGAGTCCCGGAACCTCGGCACCTACCTGCTCCTCCTCTACGGCTTCCAGGTATGGCAGGAGGGGAGGGCCCGAGCGGACAGAGAAGCGCCCGGACGGCGCTGAGTGCCCCTGCCTCTCTCCCAGGGATTGCTAACCTTTGGGTACCTGGTGCTCCTGTCCCGCATCGGAGAGCGCATGGCTGTGGACATGCGGAGGGCCCTCTTCAGCAACCTGCTCCGGTACGGCCAGCTGCAGGCTGCGGCTGCGGGCGGGAGAGACCCAGGGGCCCCATGGGGGTCCCGCTGGATGTCTGGAGGTGGGGCCTTATCCTGAAGTAACGTCTCTCTCTCCCCCACTGCTGCTCTTGGGCCCACTGCCAGACAAGACATTGCCTTCTTTGATGCTAAAAAGACAGGGCAGCTCGTGAGCCGATTAACCACTGACGTGCAGGAGTTTAAATCATCCTTCAAACTTGTCATCTCCCAGGTCAGTGCCTCACTGGGCCAGCCCACCCATCCTGTGGGCCCCACGCCAGGCGAGGGTGTGGGTGAAGGACTGGGGAAGTTCAGGGAAGAAGGTGCCAGGGCAGTGTCCAAGGTCAGGATAAGCTGTTTCTCTCCCGTTCTGAAATCCTACCTCCCCCGGAAACCTTCCCAAGGACTCAGACAAGAGCCTTTCCTGGCCCAGCTTGCCAAAAGCAGAATCACCCTGGCCCCCAGGAGGCCTGGCGCATTGGCAGCGCTGATGAGAATGAGCGATGGCTTTTACTATATTACTGATGTCCTCTCCTTGTCCATCCTGTTGGCACTGTGGCTGCTGGATCACAGCAGACACCAGCCTACAGTGTCAGTTTCTAGAGCAGAAAGAGGCACACTGGGATCTGTCAGGGGAAGGAAGCCATGTCCACAGACACTCTCATCCAGCCCCTTCATGCCTACTTGTCAAGCAAGGGTTAAGGCTCTAGCCAGTTTGGCTCAGTGGATAGAGCATCGGCATGTGAACTGAAAGGTCCAGAGTTCAATTCTGGTCAAGGACATATGCCCAGGTTTCGGGCTTGATCCCCAGTGTGGGGCTTGCAGGAGGCAGCTGATCAACGATTCTCTCTCATTATTTTATTTTATTTTATTTTATTCAATATATTTTATTGATTTTTTACAGAGAGGAAGGGAGAGAGATAGAGAGCTAGAAATGTCGATGAGAGAGAAACACCGACCAGCTGCCTCCCGCACACCCCCCACAGGGGATGTGCCCGCAACCAAGGTACATGCCCTCGACCGGAATCGAACCCGGGACCCTTCAGTCCGCAGACCGATGCTCCACCACTGAGCCAAACCGGTTTCGGCTTTTTTTATTTTATTTTTTAATATATTTTATTGATTTTTTACAGAGAGGAAGAAAGAGGGATAGAGAGTTAGAAACATCGATCAGCTGCCTCTTGCACACCCCCCACTGGGGATGTGCCCGCAATCAAGGTACATGCCTGTGACCTTTCAGTCCGCAGGACAACACTCTATCCACTGAGCCAAACCGGTTTCAGCTCTCTCTCATTATTGTTTCTATCTCTCTCCCTTCCTCTCTGAAATCAATAAAAATATATTTTAATAATAATAATCCTATGTAATAAAAGGGTAATAGGCAAATTGACCAAACAGTGGAATGGCTGGTTGCTGTGACACGGTCAGCAAGGACAGGGACTCAACGCAGGAGCTGCTCCCTGGTGGTTAGTGCACTCCCACAGGGGGAGCGCAGCTCAGCCAGAAGCCGGAGCCTGGCTCACGGCTGGTGAGAGCAGCCGGGGCTCTGCAGCAGCTAAAAATGTCCGACAGCCGTGGGGAGCGGGTCTAAGCTGTCAGACACCATCCCCCTTCCCCCCCAGGGCTCCAGGACTGCAAGAGGGCACAGGCCAAGCTGAGGGACCCCTGCCCCCCCCCCAAGTGCACGAATTTTGTGCACTGAGCCTCTAGTAATAAAATGTCAAAAACCATTTACTAAAAAAAGAAAGGATTATGTTCTGAGGCCAGTAGGCCACCAGTTGGCCTTCCAGGAGTGAGACCTGTAGCCTTGGCCTTGTAGATGTAGAGCTGTAGCCAGCTGACCCTTCATAACACCCCCCATGTTGTGGTGCTGGTGCCAAACTGCCTGCCTTCCTCCTTCCCTCTACCCAGGGACTTCGAAGCTGCACCCAGGTGGTTGGCTGCCTGGTGTCCCTGTCCATGCTTTCCACACGCCTCACGCTACTGATGACGGTGGCCATGCCCTCCCTGATGGCAGTTGGCACCTTGATGGGCTCGGCTCTCCGAAAATTGTCTCGCCAGTGTCAGGAGCAGGTACCAGAATTCCCACCCATCCTCCTTAGCCTACCCTTTCTCTGTTGTCACTCCTTCTCACCAACCTGACTTCCTATCTCCTGGCATCTTTGCAGGTAGCCAAGGCAACAGGTGTAGCAGATGAGGCCCTGGGTAACGTTCGGACTGTGAGAGCCTTCGCCATGGAGCAGCGGGAAGAGGAGTGAGTCCAGGGCAGGGGTGGAGCCCAAAGCAGGGAGGTTCCCCGTATGCACCCCCATACCCTGCGCCCGGCTGGCTGCTTCCTGAGGGCTGGGCTCGGCCTCTGTCCCCAGACGCTACGGAGCAGAGCTGGAGGCGTCCCGCCATAAGGCAGAGGCACTGGGCAGAGGCATCGCCCTGTTCCAGGGGCTCTCCAACATCGCCTTCAACTGTGAGTGCGCAGAGGCCTCGCCTCGCCTGGGGGGCAGGGCTGGGAGGAGTAAAGGACAGGTTCCCGCAGGGCAGCCCTCAGCTGCTTGATGCCCTTCAGTGCCAGGAGCCCAACTAGTCACGCAGGCAGGCAGTGGGCAGGTGGGCTGATGTCACAGCCGAGCTATGTGTGGCACGGCTAGGAGGAAGCAAGGACGTGGCCCCTCCTCTGACTACTTGTTTCCAAAGACAGGGCCGTTCAGGTGACTCACCGAAATTCTAGTCCGTGGAGGCACTCTGCCCTGTGCTTCCAGCTGCTTCCTTCCCAACCACCTGTCCATTCCCCACGCAGGCATGGTCTTGGGCACCCTATTTGTTGGGGGTTCCCTCGTAGCTGGACAGCAGCTGACCGGGGGAGACCTCATGTCCTTCCTGGTGGCCTCCCAGACAGTGCAGAGGTGAGTGTGCGGCCCTTCCTGAGCAGCCCTGGGGTGGAGGGACGGCTGCTCCCTCAAGGCTCAGGCAGCCCCTCCAGCTGTTTTGTTGACTCCACTCTGAAGTACATTTGTCACGTCAGCCTTCCAGACAACTCAGGAGCTGTAAAACGTCTTCTTTTGTTAATCCTCACCCCAGAATATGTTTTCAATTGATTTTTAGAGAGAGTGGAAGGGAAAGATGAGAGTGGGGTAGAGAGAAACCAATGTGAGAGAGGCACGTTGATTGGTTGCCTCTCACACATACCAACATGGCTAGTGATTGTGCCTGCAACCTAGGTACATGCCCTGGATCAGAATCAAACCCTTGACCTTGAGTGCTCCCAATGCTCTAACCACTGAACCAAATTGGCTAGGGCAGATTTTTAAAATTATAGTAAAATACACATTTTTACTGACATGAAATTTGCCATCCTAACAAATATAAATATATATATGTGTGTGTGTGTGTGTGTGTGTGTATTGATTTCAGAGAGAAAGGGAGAGGGAGAGATAAAAACATCAATGATGAGAATCATTGATCGGCTGTCTCCTGTATGCCCCCCACTGAGGATCGAGTCCACAACCTGGGCATTTGCCCTGATCGAGAATTGAATCGTGACATCCTGGTTCATCGGTCAATGCTCAACCACTGAGCAACACTAGCCGGGCTACCATTTTAACCATTTTAAGTTATAGCTTAGTAGTGTTATATATACTCACACTGTTGTGTAACCATCACCACCATCGTCTTCAGAACTTTTCATCTTGCAAAACTGAAACTCTGTCCCCATTAAACACTAACCCCCATGCTCCCTTCTCCCAGCCCCTGGCTCCCACCACCCTACTCTCTGTCTCTGGGTCTGACTACTCTGGGTGCCTCCTAAGTGGGATCACACAGGATCTGTCCTTTGTGATTGGCTAATTTCACTCAGGATGCATCTCCCAGGTTCGTCCGCAATTAGCCTGTGTCAGAATTTCCTCCCTTTGGGGCAGAATAAGACTCGGATGACGCCTCCGTAAGAGCTGGCCTGCCCTCCTCTGCCTCCTCTCCCGACCTGCACCCTGGTGGCTCCTGTGCTGGTGGCTCTGAGACCTGCTGCTCCTCCACCCCGCCTGCCCGTGGGCAGCCCAGAGCTGGCTGGCTGCCCCAGATGGCCTCAGGCCCCTTCCCTGTACTTCCTTCCCTGGAGACAGCAGTGCCTTCTGCCGCTTCTCCACACACATCCCATGTGCACAAAAGTGTATAAAACGTATGTTTCTGTTCCAACAAATAGTAGGAGATTGAATATTACATAGTAAACCATGAAGAGCAAAGACTTGTGTTACCATCAACCTAGTCAAGGAAATGGAGCCTCTCCTTGGGTGAGGATTAACCAACCCCAAAAAAAATTTTCCTTTATTTTATTTAATTTTTACAGAGAGGAAGAGAGAGGGATAGAGAGTTAGAAAAATCAATGAAAGAGAAACATCGATCAGTTGCCTCCTGCACACACCCTACTGGGAAGGTGCCCACAACCAAGGTACATGCCCTTGACTGGAATCAAACCTGGGACCCTTCAGTCCACAGGCCAACGCTCTATTCACTGAGCCAAACCAGTCAGGGCTGTTTGAAAAAAAAAAAAAAAGGAAATAGAGCTTAACCCCAGGTGCCTTCCTTCTCCCCCCTCCCCGCACCCCTCCCCCATGCCCTATATCAGCTGCTCCCCATTCTGATGGCAATTGGCACCTAGCTGTGCCCCGTGTCTCCCACCTGTTCCTCACAGAATCCCTCACTGTCAGCCTTATTGTCCCGGGAAGAATGGAGCTAACCCCAGACAGGCAGATGGAAAGGACTTCCGTCCTCGGCCCCACTTTTCCCGGTGCTTTCTGATGTCGGCCTCTTCAGCCCCTCTACTCCTGGGTGGCCCCATCCTTCCAGCCTGGGAGCTGTTCCTGGTGGCCATGAGACTGAGACTTTGACTGTCATAGTGCAGGGACTTGGGGCCTCTCCCTGCTGGCCCTCCCCCAGCCCACCGTTGGCCTCTCAGTTTAGTCCTGAGGACCCTTATGAACCCTCCGGCTCTCTTCATGCCTCACCAGGCGGCTTCCACGGAGCAGTGGCTGGGAAAGTCTTGTAAGGAGGGAAACTGCACCCTCCAGGCCTGGCTGCCTCCTCAGACTCGCCTTCCCTTGGCCCCGCCCACCTGCCTTCTGGCCTGGTATGGCCCTCCTCTTCCTCCCCCTGCTCACACAGCCAGTTAACAGAGTTCATGACAGACGTCTCAGGCTGCTAGGTGGGCTGCTCCCACAGCCACGGGCCTTGGGCCCATCCTTTTAGGGGCCCGTCACCTCATGGGAATTTCCACCACCCACCTTGGAGGAATTGGGTTTCATTTTATTAAAGAAGCTGGTGTGTTTCCTCCTGGGAGAAGAGGAGAGAGGGGAAGGGTGGGGAGGAGAAGAAGGCAGTGCTGCCCTGCCTTCAAGCTGCCCAACCTTTGGGCCCCATCCAGGTATTCTTTTCGGTGCCGTTGGGGCCCCCAAGTGATGGGGAGGCACCTAGACTACAGTCAGAGCCACGCCAACTGTCCATATCCGGGACTCGGCTCACCTGGCTCCCCCCACCCCTGGCCAGGTCTCCGGGGAGAGCCGAGGCCTGGCTTCTGAGCCATCTTGGAGAGCAAGGTCATGCTCACCAGTGAGTCATGTGCATCTGGTTTTCGGTTGCTGCTGGCACCTCTGCCAGGCACTAATGGCTTCCAGATCTCTCCCTTCTCACCCACAGATAACGCTGCCTGGCTCCTCCTCACTCAGTGCATCCTGCTCCCTTTGGCAAGTGCTGGTGCTCTGAGCCCGCCAGAACCACTTCCCCCAGGCTCGTCCCCTCCCCCGCGCCAGGCTGGAAGGAGTGAGATTGCTGAGGAGTCAGCCTTTCCTCAGGAAGGCCCTGTGCATGCAAGCACACGCTGTCATGGGCCGCCCAGGCCGGTGCGGGCCTGGTGACTAAGAACAGTGACTCACCTCCCTCCCAGCAGCCAGCAGCCCTGCATGATGGAGGAGGTGGCCCGCTGTCTAGACAGATACACACACACACCGTCCCTGACAGAGGGCAGAGCCACCATAGTGTCTCCGGGGTGTCCCGGAGTTTGCCCTGAGGTGCACCTGTTTGATGGTTTGTTAATCCTCACCGGAGGATATTTTTTCATTAATTTAAAGAGAGAGGAAGGGAAGGGAGGGGGAGAGAGAAAAATCAATGTGAGAGAGACACATCTATTGGTTGCCTCATGCACATGCCCGACCTGGGCTGGGAATCCAATCTGCAACCCAGGTTCATGCCCTTGACTGGGAATTGAATCCTCGACCCTTGGGTGCATAGGCCAACACTCTACCACTGAGCCACCCTGGCCAGGGCTCCTGTTTTTTTTCTAAAAGGACTAACATCCATCCCCCACCTTAATTAGCCTTTGCTTCCCTTGTGGGTCAACATCTAGATCTGACCTGCCTTGTGGGCCTCACAGCCCTGACTGCTGCTGGTGGTGCAGGGTGGGAAGGGCCCAGCCCCACTGAGTCCTGGTTCTAAGGTGGTGACACTCGTGAGCCTCCTGCCACGAAAGAAGGGATGTGGCTCCGAAGGGAGAAACGCCAGGGCCCAGGGCTCCTAGGGTTGCCGATTCCAGGACCATCCTCTGCGTTTGGCTCCAGCCCACGTTTCCCCGCCGCAGCCCACATGTTCCCCAACTGAGACCCAGGCCTCCCTCTGGTGCCAGCCTTCTCAGCCCTTCTCTGCTCCTCACAGGTCCATGGCCAACCTCTCCGTCCTGTTTGGTCAGGTGAGTGGCAGAGTCGGGTGGTCCAGTGGCCGCCAGGGTCACCTGTGCACCGCAGGAAGTGGGTGTGGGCCGAGGGGTGCACACCTGCTTGCGTGGGTGCCCTCACCGCACCCTGAATCCCCTCCTAGGTGGTGCGGGGGCTCAGCGCGGGCGCCCGGGTGTTTGAGTACATGACTCTGAGCCCGTGCATCCCGCTGTCCGGAGGCTACAGTGTCCCCAGAGAGCAGCTGTGTGGGTCCATCACGTTTCACAACGTCAGCTTCAGGTGAGTGTCGGTGGGTGGGTGCGGGGTCATTCCCTCCAGGCTGGGGCCTGCAGGCCAGTGTCCCCTCTAAATCAGCCCCCCGGGTACAAGGAGACTTCAGGAGGGACTGGGGCAACCAGGGACCAGGAACCTGACCTGACTGAGGGTGTCTTGGCTCCTCCCAGTTACCCCTGCCGCCCCGGCTTCCCGGTGCTCAAAGACTTCACCCTCACGCTGCCCCCCGGCAGGATTGTGGCCCTTGTGGGCCAGTCCGGTGGAGGTAAGAGAAACCCACAGCCTCTCATCCTGTGCCTTCCCTCCTGTGGTGGCCGCTCAGAGCCACCCCCTCCACTGCCACCCTGAAACCCATGCCCCCTCCCTGACCGCTGCCTCCCTGACCCTACTCCGCAGGAAAGACCACCGTGGCCTCCCTGCTTGAGCGCTTCTACGACCCCACGGCAGGCAGGGTCACCCTGGACGGGCGGGACCTGCGGACCCTTGACCCCTCGTGGCTGCGGAGCCAGGTCATCGGCTTCATCAGCCAGGTGTGGAGAGAAGACGCTTTCCTCCAGCCCAGCACTCAGACGCTCCCTCCTCCTCCAGGCCCTGCCTCTCAGCTCTGTGGCTCCGGGCCTTTTCTCCTTCTGCCCCTCATCCCTGCTCTGGGTGGGGGAAGGCTCTCCCCATCTTCGCTTGTTCCCCACATTCCTTGGGGTCTGAGGCTTCCACCTCCTGGACCACCGCCTCCTGCCCTGCTCTCGCTAAGGGCTGCTCTCAGTCGAAGCCAGGAAGGGCTGGGCCGGCTGTGTCAGGATCCCTGGTTATAACAGATCTAGAAGTGCCCTGTGATGTTGCTGGTGCTGCTGGCGGCCACTCACTCCCTCAGCCAGGTCCGACACTGCCTCTGCTTGAGGTGGTGCTGCCCAGAGAGGGTCCACTTGCCTGCCGGGCCTGGGTTTCCCGGGCACCTACTAACCCACGAGGCTGCCTCCATGGCAGGAGAAAGCCGCAGCGCACGCCCCTCTGTGCCCATCCCCCATCCCTGCCGAGGGAAGGGGCTCTGCGGGGAGCCCGGTCCCCCCAGCTTTGATGGCCTCTGTTCTCACTTGAACTGTAACTGAATTGGCTCTGTCTGCCCTCCAAGGGGTTCTGGTTTGTCCAAAATAGCCTCTCCTGACACCCCTCAGGCTGGGGCAAAGTCAGAGGGTTTCCTGTGGACTCCCCCTCCCACCCCAGGAGCCAGTCCTGTTCGGGACAACCATCATGGAGAACATCCGCTTTGGGAAGCTGGGCGCCTCTGATGAGGAGGTCTACGCAGCTGCCCGGGAGGCCAACGCGCACGAGTTCATCACCAGCTTCCCCGAGGGCTACAACACCGTCGTCGGTGAGTACCCAGTTCTGCTGGGTCTGCGGGGCCATGGGGTGAGGCTGGGCTGAGGAGACAGGAATAGGCATCGCATCGGGGAAGCTAGGCCACAACTGCGGCCGTGGGGACGGGAGTCCAGGCACAAGCAGGCTGCACAGGCAGGCAGATGGGGAGGCAGGCACCGGCCGGCCGCCTGATGGTGTCCTGTCCACACCGGACCGCATGCAGGACGGGGAACCCGCACAGCCTAGGTGCATGGTGGGCTGCACAGCAATAAAAATCGCCAATGACTCGTTTCTCAGAATGTGTGTGTTTTTTTTTTTATCTTCACTTGAGGATATTTTCCCACAATTTTTAGGGAGAGTGGAAGAGAGAAAAATGGATTTGAGAAACACATCGAGTGGTTGCCTCCTGCATGAGCCCTGACCAGAGCCCAGGCCGGGGAGGACCTTGCAACCAAGATACATGCCCTTAACCAGAATTGAACCCAGGATCATTCGACCTGCAGGTCGACACTCTGTCTACTGAGCCAAACTGGCTAGAGCTCTCAGAACGTATTGAATCGTTAAGTGATGTGTAACGGTACAGGACCCGCCAGGGACACAGTGATGGGGTGTCGGAGCCTCTGCGTTCTGAGACCCGAGCAGGGGTGTGATCCCGTAGACGTTGCATCGTCTGGCTCCTGCGCCGTTCCTGTCCTCTCTGACTTACCCAGGAGAGGCCTCTGTGGGTCTGGAAGATCCCCTAGACGCACTGAGAGAGTCCCCAGGGCTGCTTGCAGCGTCGCTCATCTCAGAGGTCTTCTCTCGGCTTATGCGTGTTACCCCGCCTCTGGGCTCTGGCTCATGCCCCGCATGTCTCTGGGCACAGGCATCCCAAGTTCTCAGCTCTCTTCTTGAACTTTGGCCTCAGTCTAGCTGAACTTCCACCTCCGAGGGGTGCCCCGTCTGTAGCCATCCTTCATGTCCTGTGTTACTGACCAGCTGGTTTGCTCGCTGCTCAGATTCCACAGCCTCTTGGGAGGCACAGTCGTACCTCTCCCCTGGCATGTTCCAGCTGCTCTGGGCTTCAGGCTGCCCTCCCTGCACTGTGACTGCTGTCACCTGGAGGCTCTTTGGCTCCAAGGCTGCCACCCCTGCGGTTCTCCCCAAATGTGGTCTCCCCAGGACGCCTGGGTGGGGGGCTTTGAATCCTGCTGTCCTGTCACACCCCCAGGAGCCTCTATCAGGTCTCGGATGTCCCCACAGCAGCAGAGAGCCGAGGCCAAGGAAGGCGACTAGAACCTCAGGCCCCATCCTGGCTCTGACACTCGGATTCCTACCATGTGCACAACTCACATCGCCTTGCACGAGTGTGTGTGCATTTGCACAGCGATGTGGAAGCCGATGCAGAGGCAGGGCCAGGGGGGACCCCAAGGGGCCAGATGGGAAGTTCCCAAGAGACCCAGGGCCCCTTTGGAGGACCTCCCCCAAGTGCAGAGCTGAGGACTGCTTCAGGCCTGCCCTGGCCCTGTCTCCCCAGGTGAACGGGGCACAACCCTGTCCGGTGGCCAGAAGCAGCGCCTGGCCATCGCCCGCGCCCTCATCAAGCAGCCAGCAGTGCTGATCCTGGACGAGGCGACGAGCGCCCTGGATGCAGAGTCCGAGCGGGTTGTGCAGGAGGCCCTGGACCGAGCCAGCGCCGGTCGCACCGTGCTGGTCATCGCCCACCGGCTCAGCACCGTACGCGGGGCCCACCACATCGTCGTCATGGCCCAGGGCTGCGTCTGTGAGGTTAGTGGGTGCCGGGGGGTTGGGGGGAACTTGAACCATAGACACACTGGGGCGGTGCTCAGCCGAGCTCTGAGGGTATGGCCAGTCCTGGGGGCTTAGGGCTATCTTCTACAAGCAGCACCCCATGTGGATCCAGAAATTTCTGCCCTTCGCTAAGTCCTGGCCTCTCAGGTCTCCAGTCTTCCTCTGTCCAGGGTCACAGGGAAGTGTAATGTGCCTGGGGCTGAGGTACCGAGGAGGCAGCTCCAGGGACCAGCAGGAGCTGCACCCAGAGGCAGGGTCTGCAGCAGGCTTGGAGGCTGCATGGGGCCTGTTCAAGCCAAAGCTGAAGGTTTGCTGGGCCCTGAGCTGGGGGTCTTTGGGCTATTGAGGGGCCTGGAGGACAGCAGGGAGGTGGGGCTCACAATACAGATGTGCCAGTGGCATCTGTAACCACTTGTGCTTTGGTTTCATAGTGTCCCCAGAAGAGACACTGGCCTAGGTGACAGTGAACCCGATGACCAATATGAAGCCAGCCTTTGTAGGGCCTGAGCTCTGAGCTGTATTGGGTGACCATCTGCCCCTCCTTCCTCTCCAGGAGGGGACCCATGAGGAGCTCCTGAAGAAAGGTGGACTCTATGCTGAACTCATCAGGAGACAGGCCCTGGGTACCTCACCTCCTGAGGCACCCAGAGATCCCAGTAACTACCATCCAAAGTCCTGAGAGCAGCCCTCTGCAATCTGGTCACTGCCAAGCATTAGTGCCCAGGACTGAGGACTGAGCTCCCCAGAGGGCCGGGCCGGCTGTGGGCTGCCCCCCCTGCCCACAGTAAACCCAGGACAAGCCCTGGGCTGGAAGGAAGTTGAACTGTTGCCATCCCCTCTCCCATCTACCTCCTGGCTGCCTCTCCTGCCAGAGCCACTGAGTCATTGGGCTGCACAGGGAAGGAGCAGAGTCCCGGGCCCGTGCTCTGTTCTCTCCCTCCCCACCTCAGGAGCTCTGCCAGCCTCCCTCCTACCCGACAGCGGCCCAGCTCTGAGGATAACTGCCTTCAGGGTCAGGGGGTGGGTAAGAGAATTCACCCTGGGGTTCTCTCCCGCCCCATGTCAGACCTCAATTTCCTAGGCTGATCCCAACACCCCTTTGTCCCCACGGCCTCTCTGGACCCTTAAAGAAGGAACACACACACACACACACACACACACACACACACACACACGGTCAACCCCTCAAACCCCCAATCCCCATCCTCAGGGCAGTTTCTCTTCCTTCACACAGCCCTTGTTTATAGATTTCACCCTTTCTCATCCAAACAGGACAGATGCCTGATAGGCCCTCAGGGAGGGAGTGGAGGGGTGGGCACTGTGGTCCAGCCTGGCTGTCTCACCACTGCCCCCCCCCCCCCGAGTCTGTAACATGGTGAGATTGTAGACAGCCCCCTCTACATGAGGACACCAGCCTGAAGGGGACAGAGCAAGAGCCTATACACTCACAGCTACAGGAGCACATAGTACCAGCACCAGACCACAAGGGAGGGGCAGACAGAATAGAAAACCAGGGGAGGAGGTCGGACCAGGGAGCCAGCGGCCCCAAAGCTTGAACGAGGACCTGGGAGTAGCCACGGTTTCCCACCAGCCCTCGTGGGTTCCCCTCCTGCCGTGGTTCTGCTCATGTCACCTGTCAGCGGGCAACCTTCCCCTTTCACAGCCACGTCTGGCTGAGGTGCCCCTGAGCCCTGCTCCCTAGGCAGAAAGAGGCTGCCTGAGCCAGACCTTCGGGCTGACCACGCGTGAGGTCTATCCTGTGCCCAGTGGGTAAGGCCTTGGTTGGGGGCAGCAGCAGTTCAGGAGAAGCAGAGCCCAGGTGTGAGCTGGTGAGAAACTCAATAGCCTCTTCTGTGTGGGGGTGAGGACCAGAAACCCCCAAAATACCGTGGCCACAGTGCCCTGCTTTGCTGCCCCACTCCCTGGCCGATGGAGGCCATCCCATCCCAGGGCGGACTTCTGTTTGCTTTGCCAACTAAGCACCTACTGCAGCCCAGACCAGGCCTTAAGCTTTCTCCCCCCCAGTTCACCTGGCCGGCCTGCCCCTCCCTTAGGAGAGCCAGCTGGCCAGTTCCTGCTGCTCCAGCCCAGGCCTCAGCCCTGTGACACCAGGTCCTGGGTCACTCCTTACCCTTCAGGGTGGCCTCTCCAAATCCTGCTCCCACGCCCCGCCCAGCTAGGGAAGTGGTGAGGCCCATGGTGTGCCTTCGGCTGGCAGGCCATGAGGTTGGCGCCGTGTAGCCTGATCCTGGACCTGGGCTCCTGTGGCCATTCGACATGGGTCCTGAGCCTGGCGGTGCTGTTTTAAGCATTTCAGTGTAAAGTTCTTAAAACTCTGAATGCTGTGGCCTACGAGGTGGTCAGACTGGGCAATAAACCGTATCACCTCCTCCTCCTGTCCAGAATGTTTTCATTAAGCACCTTGTGCCCCGATGGGGATGACAGCCTGTCTATCCGAAAGGCAACGCAGTGCCTGTGACTGTGTGAACTGTTTCTTCTACTCAGCCCAGAGCCCACCCAGTGGCCTAGGATGCTTTGGAAAGAGACAAAGTAGAAGCAGATTTCAGTGAGTTAATGGAGATAAAACCTGCTTCCTCTCAGGCCCCCAGTGCAGCATCTGTCTCCCCATTCCCCTACACTCAGCTCGCTCTGTGGCCCTCTGGGTCCCGTCAGGCCAGCAGGCAGTGATGTCGCAGGCCATGCCCTGCCCTGGAGGTGCCTGCTCCAGCTGCTGCGAGGTGCCCCACGGGCTCTGGATCCTGGGTGCTCTGTGGCCCAGGCTGGCCGGCCAGCTCACAAGAACACACTCTCCCATGTTCCTGCTGGGAGCATGAAACGGTGTGACTCCAACGCCAGGAATTTTGTGGCGTCAAATGACCCATGAAATTGACCCAGCAGTTCCGTTTCTGGGAGTTGAGTGTTGCTGAGTGCACTGTAATGGAAGACTGGAAACCCCAGGATTCATCAGGGATGTGGTGACATCAACAGGGGTGTGTCCACATAATGGAAGGGTATGCAGCCATTTAACAACGGGGAGGTTTTCCAGCTCGGGATATCGCGTTGTCCCAGAATGTGTTACCGTATTTTCCGGCGTATAAAACGACACTGTGTTCTGGTAAAAAGCCTGCTCAGATTGGCCAGAGTCAAAGAGACAGTCTATTAAAAAAAGAACTGGTGTTGCCTCGGAAGTGGGGGGTAATCTTATACAGCGGATATAGGCCTAAACCTGTTTTAACTGTAAAATTAGGGGGTCGTCTTATATGCCGGAAAATACGGTATGTAAAAAAAGATGTGAAGCCAAAACCGCTTTGGCTCAGTGGATAGAGCGGTTTGGCTCAGGGGATAGAGCGTAGGCCTGTCCCCTGAAGGGTCCCGGGTTCGATCCCCGTCAAGGGCATGTACCTTGGTTGCGGGCACATCCCCGGTAGAGGGTGTGCAAGAGGCAGCTGATCGATGACTCTCATCGATGTTTCTATCTCTCTCCCTTCCTCTCTGTACAAAATCAATAAGATATATTAAAAATAAATAAATTTGAGATACTTTAAAAGCAATTTTTCAAAAAAATAAAGATGTGCAAAAGCCGGTTTGGCTCAGTGGTAGAGCATTGGTCTGCGGACTGAAAGGCCCCAGGATCGATTCTGGTCAGGGGCATGTACATTGGTTGCGGGCACATCCCCGGTAGGGGGTGTGCAAGAGGCAGCTGGTCGATGTTTCTCATCGATGTTACTAGCTCTCTATCTCTCTCTCCTCCTCTCTGTAAAAAAAATCAATAAAATATATAAAATAAAATAAAGATGTGAAATCCTAGAACATGCATGCCATACCTGGGAACTGGACTGTACCTGGGAGTGTGGCAGGTGAGCCCACTTTCGTTGTGGTAGAGACCCACCTTCCGCTGGAGGGCATGAGCTGGGGGAGGGAGCGGGAAGAGGGTCACTCCAGGGATATCCCCAGGACGTGGGGCCTGCAGAGGCCTGGGCCATCCGGTGTAGGCTGGAAGACGGGGTCAGAAGGAGGCAGCGGCCGATGCCAAACGCCACACCATCTTCCAGCCTGGTCAAGAGCCAACTCCCCTCTTTGTAAAATGAACACACACACACCCGCTGTGGGGAGGGAGGAGGGAGGAGCCAGGCCAAGGGCCAGTGACTGACTCTCAGCCCCATATACAGGGGCTGCAGCTGGGAAACTAGAGGCCCCAAGGGCATCCCCAGCTCCGATTATCTCTGGGTTCTCCTCAAGCCCAACTAGGGTTGCTGTGGTTTCTTGCTGGCGCCTCTGGCCTCAACACCCCCCCACACCCCCCCATGCTGCACTAATGGCTCAGTCTGGGGCTCCAGGGACCTCCCCACCCCCCAGGCTGCTCTGCCAGCCCCCGTGCCCCTCACTGCTGAAACCCAATCCTCTGCGGCAGCTCTGGCTCAGCAGAGCACCAGACCAGCCCTGCTTGCCTCGCAGGCTGCACCCTACCTGCTCAGCTGCGGGGCCCCCGCAGCACCGGCCCGTGGAGTGGAGCACAGCCTGTTCCTGGACAAGGCCGGAGAGACCCTGCAGGTCACTGCGTCCAGCCCAGCCAGGCCAGTGCCGCCCCACCTCCCTTCCGGTGTGGCCCTCTCCTTGCCTCCCGCCTGCCTTGTCCCCTGCCTGGCCAGACCCTCCCAGACCTCAAACTGACCCTCTCCTGCTCCTCAGCCTCTTCGCCTGGCCCCCGGCCCCAGCCCTCTGTTCCCTCCCCTCAGCTGGGCCATGAAGCCCCCCTCGGGGCCGGAGGAGGCCCGGCGGCAGGCCTCGGACATCAGCGTGTTCGCCAGCAGCTGCACGCTACACGGGCTGAGCCACGTCTTCGGTCACGGTCGCCTGACGCCGCGCCGGGGGCTGTGGGCCGTGGCCGTGCTCCTGTCCGTGGCCGCCTTCCTCTACCAGGTGGCGGAGCGGGTGCGCTACTACGGGGAGTTCCATCACGAGACGGCCCTGGACGAGCGCGAGAGCCACCAGCTCACCTTCCCGGCCGTCACCCTGTGCAACATCAACCCGCTGCGCCGCTCCCGCCTCACGCCCAACGACCTGCACTGGGCCGGGCCCTCGCTGCTGGGCCTGGAGCCCCCCGAGCACGCCGCCTTCCTGCGCGCCCTGGGCCGGCCCCCCGCGCCGCCTGGCTTCATGCCCAGCCCCACCTTCGACATGGCCCGGCTCTACACGCGGGCTGGGCACTCCCTGGAGGACATGCTGCTGGACTGTCGCTACCGCGGCCGCCCCTGCGGGCCCGAGAACTTCACTGTGGTGAGCTGGCCACCCGCCCCGTCCCACGAGACCCAGGCGTGCCCGGGGCGTGCCGGCCCAGTCCTGGCAGCCCAGGTTCCCCCAGAGCCAGGGGGTCTCAACACCTGTGCCCTGGGACCCTTTCCTTCCCCGCCGGGATGCAGGCCCCCACCAACCAGTACCCGCCTTTCCATTCTGACCAGGAAGCGGTCTTCCTTGGGGCCCCACTCTGTCACTGCTGGACTAGTGTGCAAGGTCACACCTTCCAGAGTGGGCCTCGCCCAGGCTAGCTGTGGGCTCAGGTCTGCCCGTGGAAACCCACTACTGGGGGTGGAGGGACCAGTTCCGGGCAGAAGACGCCACTGAGGGCGGGGCTGGTTTCCCTCTGCTTCCTCACGTTCTGCCAGTCCTAGAGGGAGGAACTGGGACCCTCTGTTTCCCACCCCCACCTCTAAAGACACGCTTGCCCTGTGGACTGGCGCCCTTGGCTGGGGACAGAAGGGGTGAGAAGGTGGCGTGATGGGAGCCCATGAAGGTCCAACTACAGGCGCCTGCGTGGTGGGGGCATTGAGCTGTGGGCTTCCGTGTTCAAAGAAGAAATCCAGAGGACGGGGAAGGGAGAGGGCCATGGCCCTGGGTGTGCCTGGCTGGGCCCCTTGCTCCCTGGTGAGGTCTGCACCCGTCTGCCTCCCCCCAGATCTTCACCAGGATGGGTCAGTGCTACACCTTCAACTCCGGCGCAGACGGGGCAGAGCTGCTCACCACTCCCAAGGGCGGAGCGGGCAACGGGCTGGAGGTCATGCTGGACGTGCAGCAGGACGAGTACCTGCCTGTATGGAAGGACACGGGTAAGGGAGCCCGCATGGAGGCTCGGGGGTGGCCACCAGCGGGTGCAAAGGGCTCTGGGAAGGAGAGGAGTGTTGAGAAGGGACCTGAGGCACGCCCTTCCTTTAAGAGGAGGGAGCAGGCGGGGGTGGCCCATTCCTGGGGAGAGGGGCTGCAGCCTGGGCCCCCAGGAACCCAGGCCTCAGGTCCCCTCCTCCCGCACAGAGGAGACCCCATTCGAGGTGGGGATCCGAGTGCAGATCCACACGCAGGAGGAGCCACCCAGCATCGACCAGCTGGGCTTTGGGGCAGCCCCTGGCTACCAGGTCTTTGTGTCTTGCCAGCAGCAGCAAGTATCCTCCCTGGGCCAAGCCCCCTCCCCCCGCCCAGGCTCCCACCCCCTTCTTCAGCCCAGGCCACTCCAGACCCCAACCCTGCAGCTCTTCAGACCTGTCCCAGGCCTCACCCCCTCGTGGCCACTCATTCTCCCCGGGTGCCCGCTTCTCCCCAAGCCTCCTTAACCGGCCCCTCCACAGCTGAGCTTCCTGCCGCCACCCTGGGGCGACTGCAGCTCCGCATCCCTGGACCCCGACTTTGAACCAGAACCCACTGGTCCTCTGGGTCCCCCCAGCCCCAGCCCCGGCCCCAGCCCTCCCTATAGCCTGATGGGGTGTCGCCTGGCCTGTGAGACCCGCTACGTGGCTCGGAAGTGCGGCTGCCGGATGATGCACATGCCTGGTGAGGAGGGGGGAGGGGACCGGGTGCCGCGGGGGGGGGGGGACAGGTGCCATGGGGAGGGGACAGGTCCATGGGGAGGGGACAGGTCCATGGGGAGGGGACAGGTGCCATGGGGAGGGGACAGGTCCATGGGGAGGGGACAGGTCCATGGGGAGGGGACAGGTCCATGGAGAGGGGACCGAGTGCCGCGGGGAGGGGACAAGGTGCTGTGGGGAGGAGACCGGGTGCGTGGGGAGGGGACAGGTGCCGTGGGGAGGGGACAGATGCCGCGGGGAGGGGACAGGTGCCATGGGGAGGGGACAGGTGCCGTGGGGAGGGGACAGGTGCCATGGGGAGGGGCCGGGCCGGGAGGAGCCCCGCAGCGGTCACACACAACCCCCTATCGGGTCCCCCAGGCAGCGCTCCGGTGTGCAGCCCCCAGCAGTACAAGGACTGCGCCGACCCGACGCTGGGTAAGGGGCACGCCCCCCGCCTCCCGTCCCCGCCTCGCTGGGCCCGGGACCCCCACGCCCGAGACAGCAGCGCTGACCCAGGCGCTGTGCCCGCAGACGCCATGCTGCGGAAGGACACGTGCGTGTGCCCCAACCCCTGCGCCATCACGCGCTACGCCAAGGAGCTCTCGATGGTGCGGATGCCCAGCCGCGCGGCCGCCCGCTACCTGGCCCGGAAGTACAACCGCAGCGAGGCCTACATCGCGTGAGCCGGGGGCGGGGCGCCGGGGCGGGGCCTCCTCCTGCCCGCCGGCCTCCCGTGCCCACCCCGCCCGGCGCTCCCGACCAGCCGCCTAACGCTCCTGCCGCCCAGCGGGGGGTGACCAGTCACCTGGGGCTGTGGACTGGAATCAGACCAGAGAACGCGCCCCCGGAGTTGTCCATGAGCATCCCTCCCCTCTCCCTTCCCCCAGGGAGAACGTCCTAGTGTTGGACATTTTCTTTGAGGCCCTCAACTACGAGACCGTGGAGCAGAAGAAGGCCTATGAGGTGTCAGAGCTGCTAGGTGTGTGTGTGTGTGTGTGCACACGGGGCGCCCCGGGGACGTGCGGGCAGAGCAGGAGGCTGTGAGCTGACGGTGACCCCATCTCCACAGGCGACATTGGGGGCCAGATGGGGCTGTTCATCGGGGCCAGCCTGCTCACCATCCTTGAGATCCTGGACTACCTCTGCGAGGTGGGCCTGGGCCCCCCTCCGGGAGAGGGAAGCAAGGCCGGGCCGGCGGGGGGAAGGGGAAGTGTGGGCTGACCACCTCCCTCACTGCTTGCCCCAGGTGTTCCTAGACAGGGTCCTGGGATACTTCTGGAACCGGAAGCGCTCCCAGAGGCCCTCCAGCACCCACCTGGTAACAGCCGCGCTTCCTCCCCTGCCACCTCCACCTGAGGCTCTGCCTGTCCCTGGAAGCCGGCTGGGGACCGTGGCCGGGAGGGGCACACAGGACCTGGGCTGGGTGGGAGGCCCCTTCCCCTCTGACCCTCTCCCTCCTCCCACAGCTTCAGGAAGGGCTGGGCAGCCATGGAAACCAAGTGCCCAATCTCAGTTTAGGCTCCAGGTAACACCAAACGCCCCCCTAAGGTCAGGGGGGGGCGGGCAGAGTCCTCCAGAGGGTGACGCTCGGGTCCAGGCGGGCAGGAGCAGTGTAGGGCATTGGTTCGAGGCCGCCTGACCCAGCGCCGCCGTCTGCGTCTCAGCAGGCCTGCCACCCCGCCCTGTGCCGTCACCAGGACCCTCTCTGCCTCCCACCGCACCTGCTACCTCGTCACACGGCTCTAGACCTGCTGCCTGTGTCTTTGGGGCCAAACCTTGAAATCTCGGACATGCTCTGCCTGCACACGACTTTGCCATCTTCGCCCCAAATAAAGTTCTAGTGCCTCAGCCTGAGCTGTTCCTCTCACAGGCAGACTAGCCGGGCCAAGGTCAGCCTCACTCAGGCACAAGCCTTCTGCCTGCCATCATCTGAGGACACGGTGTCGGAAATGTGAGCGGCTTCCCAAAGAACCTGCCATGTCTCTCTGGGGAGAAGAGGAATAGGGGGCACCGGCCACTTGTGCCTCAGCGGGAATGAGTTTCAGTCAGACATCTCGGAGAGAATGGAGCCCAAAGCCAGGTGTGCAGGCAGACAGGAGTCCGTGGCCGGACAATCCATTGGGGGGCTATCGGGAAGTGGGGAGCAGACAGAGGGACTCTCCCGCTTCCAAGAACACCAGCTGTGGTCCAGCCACCTGACCTCCCCTCAACAGCAGAGGCCCAGCTTGGGCTGGCCCCCCTTCTGCTGGTAAGGGCACACCCAGCCGCAGCCCACTTTCCCTGCAACCCCGAATGTTAGAAAACGGACAAGGCAGCAGGGAGAGGTGTTCCTGATCTGACTACGTCTGAGTCTCTCCTGTCCCAGCCTGCAGGCCTAGGTGTGTGTGTGTGAGGGGCGGGGAGCAAAGAGGGAAGGGACAGGGCAGGTCCCCATGGGATATGGAAACACCCGACCTCTTCTGTTCCATGGAAGCTTTTGGACACCGGCTGCCTCAGTCCTCAGTCGCAGGCCCCCTCGGCGGAGAAGGTGGTGTGCACAGTACATAAGCACGTGTGGGCACAGCACTGCCCTGAGCCTGGCCACTGGGTTGAGAACCACTCTCCCTCAACCCCCCGCCCAGGACCACACACGGCAGCACAGCAGGACAGGACAGGGCTGCACACGGTGGTGAAGCCCAGTAGAAACCCCAACCCAAGCCCACCCTCTCAGCCGCCCACCACCACATCAGCCAGACGGTGGGAAAGGAGCCAATTTATGAAATTAAATAAAGTCTGTAGAGGGAGAGAGAACCCAGGGAGGGCGCCTCCGCCCTCGAGGGCCCAGCACAGCTGGAGCTCAGCACACTGTGCGTCCTTGCTTTCCTCCCCTCCCGGGAGGGGGCTGGGAACGGGCCAGGCGCCAGCCTGGCGGCCCGGGGTCCCAGAGCCTAGGGGGGGCAGAAGTCGGAGAAGTAGGGGTGCTGCAGCGCTTCCTCTGCCGAGATGCGCTGGATGGGATTGCACTTCAGGAGGTTCTGGAGGCATGGAAGGAAGGCGTGGCAGGGTCAGGCAGGGCCAGCTGCCGGAGCCCCACCCTCCCCCGGTTCCCCTGCTCTTGGTCACCTGCAGCAGGTCCCTGCCTGTGGCGTTGAGCTTGGGTACGACGTTCACCAGGGAAGTTGTGGCCGGGTACATCGGGTAGGGCTGCGGGAGACGGACAGAGTCAGACCAGAGGTGTGGGGCACAGAGGCTGCGAGGGCTGAGGAGTAAGGACCACTGCTGAACCACAACCCCACCCGTCACACCTTGTAGTCTGGCAGCTTGGTCATGGAGGGCCACTGCTCCTCCGTTGGTGTCCCCAGCAGTGTGTCCAGGGAGTCAAGGATCACTCATGCAATAGGGCCTCACCCCTGCCCGTCCCACTTTATCCGCCAGCTCATGACAGAAGCAGCCCCAGCACATGGGATTTTCGTTTTCAGTCCCACCTGCCTGGTGTTTACCGTGGGCAGGTGGCCCTGAACCATGATGCCTGTGTCCTGAGGACCGGCCAGCCTTCCCCGACTCCCACAGACCCCCCTGCTGATCCTTTTGGCTCCTTGATCCTAAGGAGTCAACATGCAGCTAGAGGAACATTCTCTTGGCTTCTTCCCCCAGGGATACCTCCTTGTCTACATCTCACACTCTTTCCAGCTGGCTGCATGCAGCTGTATTGTGACAACCGGGTAGGGGGGTGGTGTCCCCCACCCTCTGCCCTCCATCCCCTGCCCCTCAGAAACTCTCAGCTCCTCCCATGCTGACCCAACCCTTACTCCCCTTCCCGAGGGCTGGAGGCGAAGGCAATGGAAGGATATCGGAAGATCCTCTTCAACTGGTCATCTACATCGTTGCCAGGGAAGAGAGGTCGCCCTGCGTTGGCCAGCTCTGGGAGAAAGAGGACAGGGTGAGAGGAGCTGGCACGTGAGGAAATCCTCACTCCCAGTCTCCCAGCCCCAATGGCCCTGTTCCTGCCCCAGAGGGGACCCTCCAAACCCTATCTGTCAGCTCAGAGGGGAGAGAAGTGCCTCTGCAGACCCCAGCATGTCACCTGCAAAAATGCAGCCGGCTGACCACATGTCAATGGACGTGGAGTACAGCTTGGCCCCAAAGAGGACATCCGGTGGGCGGTACCACAGCGTGACCACCTGGAAAAGACCCCACCCACAGGGACCGCCCACTTAGAGGGCTGGGGGGGGGCTCGGACAGGAGAGGGTAATGTTCGGGTCCTAGAGTAGGAGCTGAGAGAGATGCTCACTGGGGAAGCCCTCCCTCAACCCACGATCCATCCCCCACCCGCTCACCTCGGCCGAGTAACAGCGCACGGGGATCCCAAAGGCTCGAGCCAACCCGAAATCGGCCAGTTTCAGCTCCCCATTCTGAGGGAGATGGGAGGAACAGTGTCAGGGCCGGCTCCGTGGCCGGCTCCGTGGCCCTCCTTCCAGCCTGGCTTCCTCATCGTTCAGCCATTGGCTCCAAACTCCCTCATCTCCCACCTTCTTCCCAAGAGGTACCCTGTTTATGAGCAGATTCTGAGGCTTCAGGTCCCTGTGCAGCACGTTTCGGCTGTGACAAAACCCCAGGCCTTTTAGCAGCTGGAAGAGGAACGACTGGGGGAGGAGCAGGAAAGGGGGCGTCAGACCCTCTGGAAGGGAAGCTGTGCCCAACTCCCCTCTTCATCCCCTGCTCTGCTTTGTACCCCCTGGACTTTAGCACCAAGTTCAGCGACACACCATGCACTGATTATCAAGGACTTACTTTGTATCATGCTGGATATTAGAAATGAATAAGGAATGGGGGGACTTACAGCCAGGTGGACCTTCCTACCTTCCCGCCCACACGGATTCTCCCTTCTCTGGCCTCATTTGAACACCCACATCATGACATATGCATATATTGTGCTGTATTATTATTCATCATTTGTTTCCCTTGGAGTCTGAGACAAGGTACTTGGTCCCAGGCCTAGAACAGTGTCTGGCTCACAGCAAAACATTCAGTACTTGTTGAATGAATGATGTATCTCTTTCAATCTCGTTTTTTCACCTCTCCAGTGTAAATCATGTCACTGAGACAGTTGCTGTCAGGTCAGAGATCATGGGGAAATGCTCCCGGAGAGTAAACACAGGATTCTCTCAGTCCTTGACACCCAGAGCGTCTCTGTTCAGGGCCTGAGCTTCGTGCTCAAAGAGCAGGGACACTGAATGTATACTCGAACCCCAGCCTCTGTGAGATCCCAGAACACCAGTTCCCTCACCTTCACAATTTCAGGATCTAGATCACCATTGCAGCTGTCAAAATATTTCTTAAGATCCTAAAAAGGGATGGAGTGGGGGAATGGGACAGAGTTTAACCTCAGTCTGGGCCCCTATAGCCTCCCAAGGCTACTGTCCCCCAAGTCCCACTTTCACCTGGTCACAGAACTCAAAAACCAAAGTCAACTTCTTGTCGCTATGCAGGACATCATGAAGCCTAGGGAGAAGGGAGGGCTTAGCCAGGCAGGTCCACAGGTGTGCTCCCAACATCCCTCTATCCGCCCAGTCCTTCTCTGAAGCCCCCACCCCTCCGGATGGCCACACAGACAAGCAGGAGCCAGAGGGTCTACACACCTGACAATGTTCTTGTGCTTCAGCTCTTTGAGCAGGCAGATTTCCCGCAGGGCAGAACTGGGCACTCCCTACACATGGGAGGGCGCGGGGGGGGGGGGGGGGGGTACAGTCACATCCCACCCAGCTTGGGCCCTCAACCACCCCCGGCCCAGACACCCCAGTCCTACCTCATCATCGTCATCCAGCCTCACCCGTTTCAGGGCCACGATCTCATGAGTCTCCCGGTTTTTGGCCTTGAACACTGTTCCGTAGGTGCCTAGTGGAAGGAGGGTGGGGTGAGGGAAAGAATGGGACACCCTTCCCCACCCCAAGACGTCCTTCCCAAAAGGGGAGGTGTCATGGGAGTTATGTTCTGATGTCTGGAGGAGTAAGAAGAGAATGGGGCGAGAGCCGGCGTGGTGGAGCAGAGCTTTCTGAGTGGAGATGTGGCACAGAAGGGGCCTGCAGGGGCTCAAGGAGGTCCGCAGCAGGGAGAGGCTGTGACAGCCAGGTAGGTAGGTCTACAATGAAAACAGTGCTTTGGGGGGAAGGGGGCGGGAATAGGGAGCAGGGGTCTGGGAGAGGAATGAAGGCTGGCAGGAATGTTGAGGTTGGAGGTCTACTGACAGAAATGAGGTTGGGGGGCGGGGAGGGCGGGGAGTGCTGTGCAAGTGGTGCTGAGGGTAGGAAATGCAGGAAGTGCTGAGGTCCGGGGGTCGGGCCTACAGGGAGTGCTAAGTTTGGGAGGGGGGCGAGTGCAGGAAATGCTAACGGGAGGATTGTAGTCTGCACGGAGTGTTGAGCTCAGGGCCAGGGCTGCAGCCAGTGCCGAGGTCGGAGTCTCTGGGCATTGCTGATGGTAGAGGAGCCAGAGATGCAAGAAACGCAGAAGATCTTGCAAGAACATCTCGTGGTCCCATTACCTTCCCCAATCTTCTCCAGTTTCTCGTATTTCTGCATCGCAGCAGCTTCGGGGACCCTTGTGGGCCCTCCGTTTTAATATTCTGGCCCCGGCAATGCAGAGGAGGCGGCACCCCAGCCTCCAGCCCGGCCCCGCCCTCCTGCCTGCCGATGGGCTTCTGGAGCTTGTAGTCCTGAGACGGCCAGGTTTCCAGTAATGCTCGGAGCCCTCGGCCGCAAGTGGACTACAACTCCCAGCAGGCTGTGCTCAGGCTCTCTGCGGCACTCGCTTCCCGGGGCTCGGGTTCCGCAGCGGAGGCAAACCCCGGACTTCAAGTCCCAGGAAGCACCACACATCCGCTTTCCGGGCGCTCGGGCCGCGCCGCGGCTCCCAGTGTGCCCCGCTCTCATTTCTTCCCGTGGCCGCCGCCTTCTTTTGAGAAAGGCCTCTCCGGACCGCACATTCCAGAGTGTAGCGGGGGTGGGGCGGGGCGCTCTCTGAGGTTTGGGGTTTGGTGGCCTCCATCCCGCGCCCAGGTGGTCCGGCTCCAGCCGGCTGGATGGCGTTGAGGTCTCAGCTGCCTCGTGACAATCTCTGCACGGGTTTCCACTTCTCTCGGGGCCATCTGGTGAGCCCGGGGGTGATTGGGGAATGGCTCGCAGCCATCTCTTACGGATAATGCCTTGACGGGGACCAGCTGACCCGGAGGCTGGGCTGAGAGGCAGGTGTGCTCCCTGTGGGACTGGAATTAACTAAGTTCGCCAAAGACCATTCTCTTCTCCGGGCCCACCCGACTACGGTCAATCGCTTCCTCTCTGGTCCCGAGGCAAACTGGCTGGAGCCGCTCCCCCGCCCCCAGCCCCGCGCGTCTCCCAGCCGGAGCCGGAGCCCGCGGGCGTCAGCCGGGGTGTGGCCGGGGCTGGCAGGCTGGCCCCCGGCCTCCGCAGACAGAAGCACAGACCGATGGTTACCCTCGCCGCAGGCCTGACCGCATCCCTTAAGGAGCTGATGATAGATGTCATTGCCTGCTCTCTAATTGTCTCGTGATTGCATTTCTGAGGGCTGTGGACCGAACCAAATAGGTCCCGGGCGGCACGTAGCGCCAAGAACCCGAGTTGGTGCTAAAAACGTGTATTAATTCACTCGTTTCTGTCTGGACGTTTTGTGCGTTCACGAGTCTGTGCTCCACCCAGGGGGCAGACTGCAGAAAAGAAGCGAAAAGGATAATCCGTATCTGAAGATTTTGTCACTTAGTTGAGAAAACCAGAAGTACACAGATTTTTAAGTGACAGGTGATGGCGATGCATTGGGCTCAGGGAAGGAGGTCACCGCGGGGAATCTCTCCCAGGCAGGAGTCCCCGCTTCGGGAAAGTCAAGTCCAGCTCACGGTGACGGGCATCCAACCTCCGGCCCGTAGCATCCCCCACCCCCCTCCGCCTTTTTCCCAAGCAAAGGCTGGGGCTCCCTCGGAGACACGGGATTGCTGGAGGGGGAGGGGCGGCGGGCGCGAGGGATTCTTAACACCGATCCCCTCCTATTTCATCCTCCCCGGCCCGAATGTCCCGGTCATCTTCGCGCCTCCGCTTTCCTGCCTGGAAGCCCCAGAGTGAGCGGGCCCCTCTCCGCCCAGAGGTGCCTCAACGGGGCCGGAGCCGGCGCCCCGCGGCCCCCAAGCCCGGCGCGGGGGAGCCCGGGCGGCGGCCTTGCAGAGAGCGGGGCCCGCCTCCCGGACGCGGCGCCCGGTGCCTGGCGGTGCCGGGAAGCGCGCTTCCGCCCGCGGGTCTGGCCCGGCTCCCCGCCTCCCCGCCTCCCCATCCCGCGCCGGGGCCGCGCACGGTGCGCCGGGGGGCGCGCACGCAGGGGGCCGGCCTGCCCGCGGCGCGGGGGAAAGTTGAGTTGGGAGAAGTTGGGAGCGGCGGGGGCGAGCCCCGAAGTGGGCACCGGAGAGCGGTCGGGAGCGCGCGGAGGCGCAGGAGGAGCGGGAGAGACCCCCGAGGCCCCCGGGGCGCTGAGTCCAGAGCGAGCGGGTGAGCGGCGAGGGGGCGGCGGGGGAGGGCCGGGCCGCGGGGGAAGGAGGGGGAGGAGGGGGAGCTCGGGACTCGCCGCCGGGAGGGAGTGGAAGCGGAGGAAAGGGCGGGGACTGGGGCGCGGGCGAGCAGTGTCTGGGGAGAAGGATGGGGAGGCGAGGGGAGAGCTTGCAGGTCTGGAGAGGGATCGCGGCTCCGCTTCTCCATCTCCTAGGCGAGGGCGCCGCGCCCCCTGTGCCCCGGAGGGGGAAGTCCCAGGGCGCGCCGCCGCCCCTCCTAAGTCCTGGGCGGCCTCCAACGCCCCTCTTCCGTGCGCCCCCCTACGGCATCCTTCAGGCCTGTGCAGGCGCCCAGCCTGGGGGTTGCCCGGGGCCTTCTCCCCCAGCCTCCGGGATGGAGGAAGAGCCGAGAAGGGGGTGGGGGTGGCGGGTCAGGTAAGGACAGGGGTCAGGCAGAAGAGGGAGCAGCTGGGCAGGGATGGAAAAGTCGAGCCCTGAGAGCTGGACCAGACTCCTGGGGTGCTGGGGTGTCT